TTACAGCCAGATTACTTGACTCCTTGGATACATTTAATGATATCTGGAATACATGGGAGATGCCTACCTTATACAGTATAGACCCCGCTTTACTCCTGATGTGGCTGTACTAAGTGGCCCTCATCTTTCCTTAACTGTTCTCAGTCTCTCCTAGACAACAAAGGAACACAATGCCTCTAAGTGTGTACTGTAGTAGTATTTAGTAAGAAGATAAGTAGAAACTCACATATTGGAAAGGTCTCCATCACTCGTTGATGACTTTGTTACATATTGCAACAATAATCCCTTTGGCCTACACTTCACATCTGATAGAAACCAAGATCATCTATCATTTTTAGATCTAGAACTCAGTCATGTTAATGGTCAGATAATTACCAAAAACTACACTAAACCTACCTCAGGAAACTCCTATCTACACTATCAGAGTTGTCACTATCCCACCTGGATAAACAACATCCACAGAAGCCAATTCTGCCGCCTCCGCCAGAACTGCACAAAATTGACTGATTATGAAAAACTCAGTGTTACCCTAAAATATTTGTGGAAAAAGGGTATCCCAAACAACTGGTAGATGAAGCATATACCTTTTTATCTGTCTGGTAAACCCAATAAAAATAGATCTGTTGAGGACCTCCCACCTCAGATTTACCACTAGATTCCATGGGAGACACCATAAAATGAAAAATATCCTCCAAAAACATTGGAACATTTTGCTACAAGATCCCCATCTGAAAGATGCTATGCCCCCTAAACCCATCATTGCATACAAAAAAGCCCCAATCTTAAGAACAAAGTAGCTCCTAGCAAATTAAAATCTGTTCGAACTGATCATGCACCCTTATTGTTCTCTACCCCCATCGTAGGCATGTTCCAATGTCGTAAAGCTCGCTGTAAAACATGCCATTTCATCCAACGTGGCCAAAAGGGCTTCCATCACAAAGGGAAATACCACAAATTTACTCCATTCTACAACTGCTCATCCTCCGTTGTTTACTGCCTCAGGTGCCCTTGTGGCCTCCTGTACATGGGCCACACCACACGTACCCTGCGTTGCAAGTTTGGTGAACACCGACGCCTGATTGAAGGGGGTAAGGATGAGCATAGTGTCCCCTGCCATTTCTTAGATACCCACAATAAATCCACTGTGGGACTTCAGGTTTGGGTGGTCAGGATCATGCCCTGTGATCTCCCGGAGGTGGAGTGCTTCCATAGGCTTTTTGGATACATGTCCTTGACACCCTGTCCCCTACTAGCCTTAATGAGGAGTTGGAGATTGCCACCATAATATAACCTGTTTTCTGCATCACTAAGCATTTAGTTATACCATGTCCTCTGTCTGCACCTTGTTCCTACATGTGTGCACGTTCGGTATCTAACCGTCATTGTTCCAACGGTGGATTGCTTGATAACCTAGATATTGCCATGCCCCTCCATATATCCATTGCATTGCTGTGGTCATCATAGACTATGCAGTTTCGTTTACGACCCAATTTTTGCTCTGACATCCCCTATTGCCTACTCTATACGGGGCACCCACAACATATCATTATCCCCCTCCAATAAAATACCATAATTCTTTCATATACATGTATGTATAATTCTTTTACATGTAGATCCTTTTTTAGAGACACCAATTTTTATTGTATTTGTTTACCGGTTTTCCATTAGTGTTTTCTCTCACCCCCCTTCCCCCACTTCTTTTTTCTTTTTTTTTTTTTTTTTTTTTTTTTTAATCTAAGTGTTTGCCAACACGCATTTTATACATGTATATGTCTTCCTTCCCCTCTTCCTCCCCTCCCTTTCTGTTTTATTTTATCCATAATTTTTCCCCCTTTTTCTCCCAAAGTTCTTATTACTGTTGATAATATTTAATTATCTCTGTACATTATTATGATTCTATGTTTTCATGCGAAGCCTCAGTTTTTTTAGCTTTTTTTTTATCACACGCATTGTATCCCATTGCCAGTGTATCCTCCTGATCACAGACAGCTTTCTTGCTACTCTGTGACTGTTCCCTGCCAATTTTCCCCGCCCCTGGCCCTGTCTCATCTCCCCTCTATCTACAAAAGGGTCTCTCACTTGCCAGCTCCTCCCTGCCTGATGAAAGAGCGTGCTGGGCGACGCTCGTCCCATGCATGCTCAGAAACACGTCGCACATTGATGCCGAATGTGACCAACCTCGGACATCTTGGAGACTCTGCCAGGCTTCACCACCTACGCTACACATATACAGAACCATCTGCTGGCGGACGTAGGCTATCTCCTGGTACAGTCACCCAAACATCTGGCATAAGACGTTTTACCTCTTCACTACATGAGACTGTTTTTAATTTCTAATATGCGAGTTACTACTTATCTTCTTATTAAATACTACTTCAGTACACACTTGGAGGCGCTGTGTTCCTTTTACCACAGAGTACACTTTGCTCCATTGGACAAGGAAATAAGTGATCCTCTGCTGATTTTGAATGTTTGCCCACTCACAAAGAAATGATCAGTCTAAAAATTGAATGGTAGGTATATTGTAACACTGAGAGACAGAATAGCAACAAAAATTCAAAAGAAATGCATGTCTAACAAATGATGCACTGATTGCATGTTCATGAAAGAAATAAGTATTTAATCCCCTTCAGAAAACATGACTTAGTACTTGGTGGCAAATCCTTTGTTGGCAATCACAGAAGTCAGACGTTTCCTGTAGTTGGCCACCAGGTTTGCACACATCTCAGGAGGGATTTTGGCCCACTCCTCTTGGCAGATCCTCTCCAAGTCATTAAGGTTTGGTGGCTGACGTTTGGCAACTCGAACTTTCAGCTCCCTCCACAGATTTTCAATCGGATTAAGGTCTGGAGACTGGCTAGGCCACTCCAGGACCTTTAAAGTGGAGCTCTACTTGTCCTGTCAAAAAAATAAAAGTCAGCATCTACAAAAACTGTAGCTGCTGATTTTTAAAAAAACAGCCACTTACCTGTCCCTCGGTCCTGTGGTGTGTCCCCTGCAGCCAGTTTCACCTGCCGTCCTGGATTCCTGGAGCCGGCATCTTCAGTATGGGCACCTGGCTGTGACTGCTTGCGGCTTCACAGCCGGGTACCCACTGTGCATGCGCGAGTAGCATCCCTCTTCATGAATTTTCCTGTAGCCTTCTGGGACCTGTCGCATATCCCAGAAGACTACAGGGAGGGAAGGAGGGGAGGACACCTTCCGTTTCCAATCGCCTAGGCGGTCCGACCACAATTGGTACCTGTCAAATTCGGGTACCCACTCCCCCCACCCCCCAAAGGTGCCAATCCTTAATAGGGAGCGGGGGAGCAGTCCTTAAAGCGGAGCTTCCTCTTTTGGGTGGAGCTCTGCTTTAATGTGCTTCTTCTTGAGCCACTCCTTTGTTGCCTTGGCCGTGTGTTTTGGGTCATTGTCATGCTGGAACACCCATCCATGACCCATTTTCAATGCCCTGGCGGAGGGAAGAAGGTTCTCACCCAAGATTTGACGGTACATTGCCCCGTCCATCGTCCCTTTGATGCGGTGCAGTTGTCCTGTCCCCTTAGCAGAAGAACAACCCCAAAGCAGAATATTTCCACCACCATGTTTGACAGTTGGGATGGTGTTCTTGGGGTCATAGGCAGCAATCCTCCTCCTCCAAACACAGCGAGTTGAGTTGATGCCAAAGAGCTCCATTTTGTTCTCATCTGACCATAAAACTTTCAACCAGTCCTCCTCTGCATCATTCAGATGTTCAGTGGCAAACTTCAGACGGGCTTGGACATGTGTTTTCTTAAGCAGAGGGACCTTGTGGGCACTGCAGTATTTCAAACCTTGTCGGTGTAGTGTTTACCAAGTTTTTCTTGGTGACACTGGTCCTAGCTGCCTGGAGATCATTGATAGATCCTCACGTGTACTTCTGGGATGATTCCTCACTGTTCTCGTGATCATTGACACTCCATGAGGTGAGATCTTGCATGGTGCACCAGAGCTAGGGAGACTGACAGTTGTTTTGTGTTTCTTCCATTTGCGAATGATTGCACCAACTGTTGTCACCTTCTCACCAAGCTGCTTGGCGATAGTTTGGTAGCCCAGTCCAGCCTTGTGTAGGTCTACAATCTTGTCCCTGACATCCTTGGACAGCTCTTTGGTCTGTGCCCTGGTGGAGAGTTTGGAATCTGATTGCTCCTGTGGAGAGGTGTCTTTTTATACAGGTAACAAAATGGGATTAGCAACACTCCCTTTAAGAGACTGCTTCTAATCTCAGCTTGTTACCTGTATGAAAGACACCTGGTAGCCAGAAATCCTGCTGAATGATGGGGGATCAAATACTTATTTCCCTCATGAACATGCAAATCAGTACATCATTTGTTAGACATGCATTTCTTTTGAATTTTTTGTTGCTATTCTTTCTCTCGGTGTTAAAATACACCTACCATTCGATTTTTAGACTGATCATTTCTTTGTGAGTGGGCAAACATTCAAAATCAGCAGGGGATCAAATACTTATTTCCTTCACTGTAATTTAAAGTATAACTATTATTATTGAAAGTAAAAGCACATCCTGAATTTTGGATTGACATCGGAACACTAATGGAGGCAAAATCTTCCAATGGGGACGTTAGTCTCCTTTACTGAGATATTTACGTGACTAAAGCTTTCATGGTCTGTTTTATTTGTGGTGATTTATACATCTTACTTGCTGAAGAGCTTCTGATACTGTTACTCCATGTTTCTTTTATCACCTGCATGTGATAATCTCTCATATCCCTTTTTTTTTGCCAGTTTTTGTTTTCTGCATACACTTTGAAAATAAACAATAAACAAAGTGTTTGGACACCATAATATCACCAGGTTGAGGTACTGACACAGAGGATTCCAGAGTAGAAAGGTTTTGGCCTTAGCATTCTTTGAACACAGTACAATGATGTTGTTTTAAAAATCACTGATATTGCAAGTGTGTATATACATTAACACATGTATTTATTTCCCAAAGGGAAAAAACATTAACATCCCCCAACATGGCAACCAGTGTAATTTCTCCTGACCTTGGGGTGCTGTCCGATGATGAAGAGTCTCCAGTTTTTGAATCTACAGCTGCTGACTGTGCAGCCGGGATTCGCAAAGATCTTCTCGGTGAATTCTCGGTCATTTCACCAGGACTAGGACATCCTTCTCAGGTAAGTGTAAATATTTATTGTCTCATGCCTACAAAAAATGTGCATTTTTGTTGGTTGACCGAGTTGTTTGCTGTGTTTTTGTTGTGTTTTTGTTTTGTTTTTTCCTCCTCTTCATGATGTTGCAAGTAGTTGCCTGCATGTAAGGGAAAATTACTTTGGGGAAATAAAGCTGAGTGTTGTATTTAGTCGTCTGAACTTTAGGGAACATCTCATACAACATGGTTAGCACTTTAACCCAGTATTTTTTTTGGCTGGTAGACAAATGCTATTTATTTACTACTGAAAACCATTGATAGGTGTGTGTGTTTGTATTACCTGTTGCAACGAACTATCTCCTATAGCAGATATTCCATATTACTCTGCCACAGTTATCACTGATAAGTAGAAACATCTGGTTTTTAATACTTGGTATGATTTTCCTGACGTCCATTGAAGAGAAACTTAACATTGGAAAATGTCCTGACTGAATTGCTATGCCTTGTTTTGAGATGAGATTTTGTGTGGAGGTGGCCATCTTAGTAGATGCATGGCTTTTGCTTCCTTGTGTAAAAGCCTCCAGTAAGGAGAACAGCGAGGAAATGTCAAATGTCTTGACGCACCAGTCAGAATCAGTGGGGCCTTAGAGTCTCACTACGACACACAGCTATCAGGTTGTAGGCATACTCTTATGCAAAGATGTGCTATGCCGTTTTTTTCCAGGAAGAATTCCAGGAAAAAAAAGTTTTTGTGTTTTTAATCCTAGAGTACTGCATAGACACACTAAATATTCTATCCTAACATGTCAAATCCTCGCTTTTTGAGCTCAGTTCAACTTAAAGCATACCAGGAGTGATGTTTGTCTTGTTTTTGACTGCTTCGGTCAAAATAGGAAATTTAGCACTGACCTTTTTTTCTGCTTGCAGTATAGTTGTGATCTGTTTATATGTTACATGTTTTATCTATTTTTTATAGACTATACTTGATGAAGGAACTGACAAAGTAATGGTGTACGTTAGGATCCGACCTTTTGTAGATGGGGAATTGGATAAGAAAGAGGACCAGGTAAGATAAAACTGATCAGTTTGTTTTCTGTTCTGACTTTCATTATATGTATCTTTTACTTCATGTGTGTCCTTGCAGGGATGTGTGGTGGTAGAAAATCAGGAGACTCTGATCTTGAGAGCACCAAAAGATTCTTTCACAATGAAGAACACTGAACGTGGAATGGGGCAGAGTACCCACAAGTTCACCTTCTCTCAGGTAATGAGCTTTCCACTAGATGTGACGTGTATACTGCTCATGTCAATGTGTATTCATTTTAGGGTAGGAAGATTCTGGTAGTGGCAACTGAAAGGATAGGACAATGCATCTGCCAGGAATCCTACTGTGCCTTTCTGTGTCAGACAAACTTGGACCTCAAGATTCCTCCTAAGATAACTCCTTTACAGAGAATCCCTGATTTTCCGTGGCTTCCACTTCTTCCCCTTTTGCCACAGAAACTTTCTCTGATGCCTCATCCTCCCACATAAGGGAAGGAGAGCGCCCACTTTTGAATCCCAGACTAGTGAGAACTGATTTCAGTCCAAAAATGTCTGCCAAGAATTGCTCTCGACACAGTGGAAGAGAAATATTGTACCCCTGAAGCAGTGGAAATACCAGAGGCAGGGATTTATTTTTTTATTTATTTCATGTACTTATATAGCGCCTTCAATTTACGCAGCTCTTTACATATATATATACTGTACATTCACATCAGTCCCTAACCTTCAAGGGGTGTACAATCTAAGGTCCCTAACTCACATTGATACATAGACATACTAGGGCCAATTTAGACAGGAGCCAATTAACCTACCAGCATGTCTTTGGAGTGTGGAAGGAAACCGGAGTACCCGGAGGAAACCCACGCAGGCACAGGGAGAATATGCAAACTCCAGGCAGGTGGTGCCGTGGTTGGGAATCGAACCAACAACCCTAGTACTGCCAGGTGGAAGTGCTAACCATTTAGCCACTGTGCTGCCCATCTAGTATTTACATCTAGTATTACTCATAGGGGAGCCATTGCAGGTGGACCTCCCTACCTCATGAAGGAATCTGGAAGCCCCACATTGTCCTTCTCCCCATTTTTCTGCCTGTGAGAAGCTATGGCTTGCTGTGGGACAAAAAGCCTATATTTCAGCGAACAATGGCCACTCAGCTGAGGGGAATGTCTGCCTATGCCAAAACACCAAAGTGAGAGCATCCCCCAAAAATACACATGCCCTTTTTCTTGCTGCGCCTTAATGGAGAGAAGTCAACACGATTAGTGATTTTGGAAGGCAGGATGGCTGAGAGCAGATGGATGTTGTTGAGCTACATGGGCAAGGAATCCCTTTGCATGGGACACAAAATGGCCAACTGACCTGTCCCCTTTAAACACTGCCACACTCTGTATGTCACCCCATAAGTTGAAAAACACATGTCCTGAGGCTATCCTGTGCCCTAAAACACCACACACAGGGAAAACACCCGTAAGCAGGTCTGCTTACAACTCCATAAACAGAGGCACTTACCAGTCCAGGATACAGTGGTGTTGAAGCCTGGATCCTTTCTGCCTAAGGGGTTTTTTTTCTTTTCATCTGAATCAGGATGTTGTGTTGCCAACCTTTTTGTCTTCAGCTGGGTACACCATTTTTTTTTTTTGTTTGTTTTTTTTTTTTTTTAGTTCATCCAGCAGGATTCCTGTATTCACACCAGCAAGGTGAATGCAGGATTTCCCGCAGTCCTCCCAGTAGGCGTGTTGGTGCATTCTGAGCCATTCAGCATCAAGCTTCTGTTCAAGTTTGTAAGGGTACTGCCTGGTCTTCTGTTCACGTTTACAAAATTCTACTGGGTTGACATTTTTGTCTCTGAATATCAATTTTGGGTGAATTGGTCATGCAGCTTTTCCGTTTGGGGATTTGGGCTTGTGTGTCAAAACTACAATTGGACTGTTATGGTGTTTTTGCAACTTAAAACAATGAATCACAACGCTGTCCCCTTATTAGTGTGTGTGTGTATATGTGTGTGTGTGTGTGTGTGTGTGTGTGTGTGTGTGTGTGTGTGTGTATATACAGTGGGGATCGAAAGTTTGGGCACCCCCGCTAAAATTTTGTATTAATGTGCATAAAGAAGCCAAGGAAAGATGGAAAAATCTCCAAAAGGCATCAAATTACAGATTAGACATTCTTATAATATGTCAACAAAAGTTAGATTTTATTTCCATCATTTACACGTTCAAAATAACAGAAAACAAATAAATGGCGTCTGCAAAAGTTTGGGCACCCTGCAGAGTTAATATCTTGTACTGCCCCCTTTGGCAAGTATCACAGCTTGTAAACGCTTTTTGTAACCAGCCAAGAGTCTTTCAATTCTTGTTTGAGGTATCTTTGCCCATTCTTCCTTACAAAAGTCTTCCAGTTCTTTTAGATTTCTGGGCTGTCTGTCACGCACTGCTCTTTTAAGGTCTATCCATAGATTTTCAATTATGTTGAGGTCAGGAGATTGTGAAGGCCATGGCAAAACCTTCAGTTTACGCCTCTTTATGTAATCCCCCCCCGTGGATTTCGAGGTGTGTTTAGGATCATTATCCATTTGTAGAAGCCATCCTCTCTTTAACTTCAGCTTTTTCACAGATGGCATCAAGTTACCATCCAAAATTTGCTGAAATTTTATTGAATCCATTTTTCCTTCTACTCGTGAGATGTTCCCTTTGCCACTGGCTGCAACACAACCCCAAAGCATGATTGATCCAACCCCATGCTTAATAGTTGGACAGAGGTTCTTTTCATTCAATTCTGTGCCCCTTCTTCTCCAAACGTACCTTTGCTCATTACAGCCAAAAAGTTCAATTTTAACCTCATCGGTCCACAGAACTTGTTTCCAAAATGCATCAGGCTTGTCTATATGTTCATTTGCAAAGTTCAAATGATGATTTTTGTGGTGAGGACGTAGAAGAGGTTTTCTTCTGATGACTCTTCCATGAAGACCATATTTGTACAAGTATCTCTTTATAGTGGAATAGTGTACCACAACTCCAGTGTCTGCCAGATCTTTCTGGAGGGATCGTGCAGTCAAACGTGGGTTTTGAATTGTTTTTCTCACAATCCTGCGAGCTGTTCTGTCTGATATTTTTCTTGGTCTTCCAGATCTTGTTTTAACTTCCACTGTTCCTGATGACTGCCATTTCTTAATTACATTCCGAACAGAGGATATTGACATCTGAAAACGCTTTGCTGTCTTCTTATAGCCTTCTCCAGCTTTGTGAGCGTCAACTATTTTCAGTTTCAGTTTTCTAGACAACTGCTTAGAAGAACCCATGGTGCTGATTGTTGGGGCAAGGTCAGATGAGTCTGGGCATTTAAAACCTTTGAGATTGACATAACCTGGTCTTCCCAGACGATGACTGAGAACAATCCATGACACTGGCAGGTCTCAGCTTTGCAAAGGGGGCAGTGCATGCTATAAATTCTGCAGGGTGCCCAAATTTTTTCAGACGCCATTTTTTGGTTTTCTGTTATGTTGAAAGTGTAAATGATGGAAATAAAATCTAACTTTTGTTGACATATTATAAGAATGTCTAATCTGTAATTTGATGCCTTTTGGAGATTTTTCCATCTTTCCTTGGCTTCTTTATGCACATTAATACAAATTTTTAGCTGGGGTGCCCAAACTTTCGATCCCCACTGTGTGTGTGTGTGTGTGTGTGTGTGTAACGTAAACAGAATTTAAATAAAATAAGTATACATAAACTGTGCTTCAGTCATAAAATATTGATAGTGTTATGTGCTCATTTTGAAAGAATTTACCAGGCCCTGGCCTCATGAAGGTTGTGAGCCATGGCTCTGCATCATACATTAACCACTACCTCCCCCCCCCCCCCCCCTCCTGACCATGCCATTTTTTGCATTATGGTGCTGCGGTACTGTAACTGACAATTGCGCGGTCATGCACCCAAATTAAATTTACGTCCCTTTTTTTTTTTCCCCCCGAAAAGAGCTTTCTTTCTGTGGTATTTTCTTGCCTGTGCATTTTTATAAAAAAAAAGACCGACAATTTTGAGGGAAAAAAAACTAGATTTGTTTGTACTTTTTTCTTTTAACCACTTCCTGCCTGACCTACAATTAAAGTGACGGCCGGGCGAGCCTCATGAATTTGGGAGGGCGTCATATGATGTCCTTCCCGGATCGTGCCTTGCGCGTGTCCACAGGGCCGCACTGTGGCGAGATCTGTCACCGGCTGTGTACCTCGGACACGGCCGATGACAGATCTGTGTACCAGCCCCGTTGCCAGTACCATGTGACCTGCTGTGACCAATCACAGCAGGTCACATGACAGTTGTAAACCATGGATGGCTTCCTTTCATGCCAATCGTATACAAGTGTGTCTAGCTGTGAATGGTCACAGTGATCACAGGCTGGGCCAATCACAGCCCATCTGTGTCATGTGATTAGCTGTGGCCAATCACAGCTAATTACAACAAAAAACCTGAATGAATGGATTTCATTCGGTTAAATGCTTGCTTAAAGCAAAGAAATTCTTTGCTATAAGCAATCAAATTGTGCAAAAAAAACAAAATACTGATCACTTCCCCAAAGTAGTACAATGTTACTATGGTAACATTATACTACTTTGGTCATAGCACAATATGAAAAAAAATCTTAAAGAGAAAAAAAGTTTTTTTTTTTTTTTTTTTTTTTTTTTTTTTTTTTTTTCCCCCCGCACTGTCACCTGTCAGTGTCCCTGATCACCGCCACACCAGTTATGATGATGCTGTACTGGACTGGTGACAGTATGTAAAAAAACAAAATTGAAAAAAAAAATTTAATTCATTTAAAAAAAAAAATTTAAAACTCGCCATGCCTCTTATGAAATATGTTGGACTGTCTAGTTTGCAAAAAGGGGTCATTTGGGGGATATCTGTACTGTTCTGACATTTTTGAGCCTCAAGAAAATGGATTGGCTGTCAGTACTTTGGGATTGATCAATTTCAGATATATCCCATAGTTTGTGAACTCTATAACTTTCCTACAGACTAAATAATACTGATTTGGGTTATTTTCACTAAAGAAATGTAGCAGAATACATCTCTGCCTAAATTTATGAAGAACAATTATTTGCAAACTTTTATAACCGAAACAAACTTGTGTTTTTTTTGAGGTTTTTTTTTCAAATTTTTTTTTTTTTTTTTTTTTTTTGCTAATTTTAGCAAAAATAAAAACCCCAGTGGTGATTAACTACCACCAAAATAAAGCTCTAGTTGTGTGAACAAAAATGCTAAAAAAAATTTAGTTTGGGTACAGTGTTGTATGACCGCGCAATTGTCTTTCAAAGTGTGAAAGTGATGAAACCTGAAAATTGGCCTGGGCAGGAAGGGGGTAAAAGTGCCCGGTATTGAAGTGGTTAACCATTTCAATACCGTGCAATTTTACACCTTCCTGCCCAGGCCATTTTTCACGTTTCAGCGCTCTCACACTTTGAATGACAATTGCGCGGTCATACAACATTGTACCCAAACTAAAATTTTATCATTTTCTTCACACAACTAGAGCTTTCTTTTGGTGGTATTTAATCACCGCTGGGGTTTTTATTTTTTGCTAAATTAACAATATAAGACCAAAAATTGTGAAAAAAAAACACGTTTTTCTTTCTGTTATAAAAGTTTACAAATAAATAATTGTTCTTCATAAATTTAGGCCGAGATGTATTCTACTACATGTCTTTGAAAATAACCCAAATTAGGATGTATTATTTAGTTTGTAGGAAAGTTAAAGAGTTCACAAACTATGGTATATATCTGAATATTGATCAATCCTGAAGTACTGACAGCCAATCTAATTTCTTGAGGTCCAAGAATGTCAGAATAGTACAGATGTCCCCAAATGACACCTTTTTGCAGAGTAGACAGTCTGATGTACTTCATAAGAGGCATGGCGAGTTTTTGAAGTTGTATTTTTTTTGTCATAATTTTTCAAAATGAAAAAATTAATATATTACTATATTTTTTTTTTTTACATACTGTCACCAGTGCAGTACAGCGTCATCATATAACTGGCATGGCGGTGAACAGGGACACTGACTGGTGACAGTATGAAAAAAATATATATATATTTTTTTTTTAATTTTTTTATTTTTAATTTTTTATTACATTTTTTAAATTTTTTTTTAAGATTTTTTTTTTTTCATATTTTACTATGACCAAAGTAGTACAATGTTACCATAGTAACATTGTGTTAAAAAAAAAAAAAAAAAAAAAAAAAAATACTGATCACTTCCCCAAAGTAGTACAATTTGCTTATAGCAAAGAATTACTTTGCTATAAGCAAGCATTTACCTGAATGAAATCGATTCATTCAGGTTTTGTTTTTTTTTTTTTTTGTGCTTAGCTGTGATTTGGTTACAGCTAATCATATGGCATGTGATTAGCTGTGACTATTCACAGCTACACACTAGTATACAATAGATGGCATGAATGAAGCCATCCATTGTATACAACTGTCATGTGACCTGCTGTGATTGGTCACAGCAGGTCACATGGTACCAGCAACAGGGGCCGGTACTCAGATCTGTCATCGGCCGTGTCCCAGGTACACAGCCGGTGACAGATCGCGTCGCTGCGCGGCTCTGCATTAGCGCAGACTGCGCATGTGCGGGGAGCACGCCAAATGGCGTGCACCCGGAATGCCGAAGCACTTTTGAAGCCGTCAAACGGCCATTGGCCGGGCGGCTAATGGTTAAACATGTCCAGTAAAAAAAAAAAAAAAAAAAAAATCAAATGTCATAAAAAGTACTTCTGCTGGGTGGGAAGCTGTTAAAATATTGGTCAAAGTTTGTTTTTCTCATAATAGATTTTTGGGCCAGAGGTTGATCAGAAGCAGTTTTTTGATGGGACTATGAGGCGAGTGGTGAAGGATGCACTTAATGGACAAAACTGGCTGGTTTATACATATGGAGTCACCAACTCTGGCAAGACTTATACCATACAAGGTAGGTTTACATAAAAATACATGTTGAATCTATGGGATTTTTCTTAATAGTCATATTTGATGGAAATTTCTGTTCTATTTTTCTGTGTAGGAACAAACAAAGATGGTGGCATTCTTCCTCGGTCCATTTCCCTCATCTTCAACAGTGCTCAGGACCGTCTATACAAAAGCTCTGACCTCAAACCTCTCTCCAATGAAGTTATTTGGCTAGAAAGCAAAGAAGTGCGGCAGGAAGAGTTAAAGAAGGTCTCCTTACTTTCTAATTTACGAGAGGTTAGTGTACTTGTACTGAGAAACTATTTAAAGCTTGACTCCATCCAAACGGGTAAATACAAAGAAGAAATGTGTTTTGTATGGGAGCTGCCTTACCTGCCAAAGGACTTCCTGAGGCTTACACAGATCTGCCATACAGCACAGCCCTGTCTGACAGAGCCAGAGACCCAATTTTCATCTGCTGCATTTACATTTTTTTTACCCACTCCAAGCCTGTGAATGGACCATGAACAGAGAAGCAACAGACTGATCAGCTCACATGTCACATTCCTATCAGCATGTTCATTGCACTGCAGCAGAACTTATTGGCTGTTCATGCCTTTGTTCCCTCTTCTAATTGAAATGTACAGGGAGTTGTAAAATGCTGGTACCCAGTCAAATTCACGTACTTGCACTGCTTACATTAAAAAAATTGTTGATATATTTATGTTTGAAGTTCACCCTAGAATTAACCAATAAACAGTCATATGACATTTGTACCTTGATGAAGTATGACTTCTGTCCACACTATGGTTGACTAGCAATCACCATTGACACTGCTGGATATTTTTACCAATGACAACTTGCAACTCATGGTGTTACTCAGTCTTTCCATGTTATCTTTGTTTTGTGTTTGCACAGCCTGGCTAAAAGAAATGCTTCCTCTCTTTTTATCAAAGGCAAAGACCGCTTTGGAGGAGCTGAGCGACATTTTTTGTTTTTCATGGTGGTGCTGATAAATGACTAGTAGAGCATGGACATAAGTCAAACATGGTACTATGCGTTTATCACAGTACATGTTGTACTGTATATGGCTGTTTTATGTTCATAGAGTAATTGTAGGGTGTCTGTCAGCTACTACTATACCAGAAATCGTACTATGTACATCAAAGTGGCATATTTTTATGGAATCCTTAATGAAGTAGAAATTTTTCTAAGTTTTCCTTTTTTTTTTCTTTTCTTTTTTCTTACCCACTGTCTGCTGTAGGAAGATCTTATGACACCAATGAAAAGGAGTGGTGGCAATGAGTCCCAAGTTCGGGCTGCCACAAGTTTGAGCTTTGACAGTGGAATTGGAGGACTCTCTTCAAGTCATGCCAATCATACCAGCATTCAACTAGAAGGTAATCTAAAATTTCATGAAGAATGTGCTTTTAAGACATATACAGGTATTTTATTTTTGACTGGTGATTTCTTACACTTTAGAGACATGCTCACGATGGGGTGAGCAAGATGCCATTTCACTTCAGGAACCTTCTTATATTCAGCTGTCCATTTGGGTTTCCTACTTTGAAATTTATAATGAGTTTGTCTATGACTTATTGGAGACTGTGTCCTCTGGCCCAAACCGCAAAAGAACAACACTGAGGCTGTGTGAAGACAGGAATGGAAACCCCTATGTGAAAGGTAAGGCTATACAACATCCTATATTTAGGAGTGTTCCTGCTTGGTCAAGAAGCTACAATTAATGCAAGGTCTGCTTATTTATTTTCCCCAATTGCACTTTTCTAAAATGCAGTAAATATGGAGGGAGGAACCATGTAGCTGATTAAAAAAAAATAAATAAATAAATGTACTTGCCTTTTCCCTGTTTGTCTCTGACACCTAAGCGAGGGTGGTAGTAAACCTACTTTAATTTTTACCTACAGGTAAGCTTGGAATCAAGCTTACCTGTAGATAAAGTGAATATCTTCTAAACATGCACTGTTTAGGAGATATTTGGGATTTTTTATTTTTAGCTGGCATGCCGTTCCTTCAGAACACTGCCGAGGCCTGTGACTCCCATGCACATACGCGGGCGTGACGTCACCGTGGCTCAGCCTGTCAGATGGCCGGAGCTCGCGAATCCAGAAGGAAGACTGGGAGAAAATGGAAGCCTTCACAGCGGAGATGGCGCGTGCCGCTGGAGGGCTTAATTTTAAGGCAAGTTTTACATAATGTGCTAATATGAGAGGCATACTATCACATTATGCCATTTATGTGGTTTACTACCGCTTTTAAAATTGGGCTGCTTGGCATTCCCTGGGATTTTGTTGGAATCATTCCCTGAATCTTTCTTTTAATAGCTTGAGTAGTTTAGAAAAAAAAAAAATGTGTGCGAATACAGACAGCTTATTTTTTGCAAACTATGGAGTCAGCAGCTAATTTTTTAAATCTAGATGGTAAGCATTGTAAATAAGAATCTAACATGTTCAGGAAACGGCAGCCCCCATGTTTCTCTAAACCGTTTACATTAACTTCTTCCCTACTGCGCTATAGCCGAAATACTGCTACAGCGCGGTTGTCTAGTTCTGGGACGACATTCATGGACATCGTTCCAGAACGCGCACCCTGCGCCGCCGGTGATTGCTGTGTCCTACGGACACAGCTGATCACGTGATACTGTAAACGGCCAATCACAGCGGCCTTTTACCACGTGATCAGCTGTGTCCAATGACACATCAGAATGTAAGTGTTCAATCCAAACGCACACGTTCCTGCGTTAAAAATGGCTTTGTGTATAAGTGGGTACTGCACCGACTGTCGGCTGGAACCGAACAGAATCAGCAAGGGAAAATGTCATCAGCACACTGAGGATCACCAATATGGGTCCAAAAGTTCATGCCTGATGAAGGGTCCCTGCGAAACTCTGAAACGTTGCCTTACTGTAACTATGTGATCGTTCATTAAAACTTTTGGACCCATATTGGTGATCGTCGGTGTGCTGGTGACATTTTCCCTTCCTCAATGACACAGCAGATCACCTAGTAAATACGGTTGCCGGTCATCGCCTGCACTTTCCTCGCGCCGTCACAGCATGAGGAAAGTACTGCCGATAACCGGCAATTGTCAGAGAAGTGATCGGCACTAATCACCAGGGCACTGATGATCAGTGCACAGCAGTGCTGCATCACCAGTGCCCATCAATGCTGCCTGACAGTGCAGCCTCATCAACGCACATCAGTGAAGGAGAAAAATGACGTTTCCAAAATTTTATAATCGAAATAAACTTTTTTTTTTTTTCTTTTTTTTTAGTGCAAAAAATAAAACACCTAGTGGTGATTACCACCAAAAGAAAGCTTTATTTATGTGAAAATAAAAATGATAAAAAAAATTCATATCGATACATTGTTGCGTGACCGCGCGCAATTGTCATTCAAAATGCGACAGCGCTGAAAGCTGAAAATTGGCCCGGGCTGGAATGGGGTAGAAGTGCCCAGTAGGCAAGTGGTTACGCTGGCTTTCTGGGCCTGTGTGTTTTTGTGATTAGTGTGTATTTGCCTATCACATTTGCTGGTTGCACTTCTTGTTTAGTAGTGCTACACAGTGATATTTCTTTACAGCTCTCTGTGAGGTCTGCTCTGATTCTTTGTAGCTTATTTTGAAAAGCTTGGCAGTTCTATTAAGATGCATACGTCCATTAGTATCCACAAATTTTTGACGGTTTGCTACAATCCTAAAAATATAATGGGAAGTCCTGTGTCAATAGAATACATCCGATATGGTCGCACAAACTGTTCTAATCTTTTCAACCTATATTCTTTAAAAATGAATTAGTGTTTACCTTTACAAATGTTTCTCACAGACCTCAACTGGATTAATGTACACAGTGCGGATGAAGCTTGGAAAGTGCTGCGAGTTGGAAGGAAAAATCAGAGCTTTGCCAGCACCCATATAAATCAGAATTCCAGCAGAAGGTATGGTAAAATGTCAGCTAAATATTGGAAATATTTGTACTAAAAAATCATCTAGAGATCTTGTCATAGAAAAGATGTTTGAAGCTAACCTTTATAGCAATGTCATCAAACTGTACACCAGAATAAAATGGCTCTTAATAGGTACTGGTGTGATATTAAGATTTTTGTGTACGTGGCACTCTACACCCATAGTGTGTTTACTGTATGTTTATTCATGGAGCAAATAGGTTTTCAAGAGAAGGTGGACGCACAGTTTGTTGAACTCACCGATGTGTTTTGCCCATCTACTAAGCAGAATTCTAGATCAGCCAGAAAGGGTGGAAATTTATATACACATAACACTCACCACTTAAACATATAATTTACAACACTTTATGCCGTTTTATTCTAGTGTGTGTGTTTTTAACTTACAACTCCCAACTAATATTAACAGTGGTATGTGCAAATATTTCCCAAAGTCTGAAGTGAAAACTAAACAATGTGTGCCATTCCAAGCTATTGTACTATAAAATGTCCAATCATTCATGAGAGCATTTTTATAAAACAGTAATCTGCCGTTCATCAAACATTCGCTGCATTTTCCAGGTGCATTTATTGAGTAATTAACCAGCAGTGAATATTTTTGACCGTCACATTCACTGCTTTATAAATATACCCCTAATTTATTACATAGTACAAGTGTGTATTTGTTTATACGTATTCTTCTTAAAGCCAATAACAACTTGCTGTTTTTTTTTTTTGTTTTTCTTTCAGTCATAGTATCTTTTGCATCCGGATCCTTCACTTGCAGGGGAAGCATGATATGACCCCAAAGATCAGTGAGTAAGTATATGAGCGCAAGTCCAGAGGTTGGACCTTTTAAAAAGAAGACTCTTAAGATTAGAAATATGAAAACTTCCCTTGATGTCTTTAAAGCTCATCTTGAGGCACAGTTATTTTTGTGAAAGTGATACTAATCCTAAAAAAGTTTACCTTAATGCATTGCTTGCATTAAGGTGAAAAACATTTTCTATTTGTCTGTGCTCCCCCTTCCCTGTGTGAATGGTGAGAGGAGAGAAGAGGTCAACGCTGTGCATGGCTGCATCCCCCCCCCCCCCCCTTCCTCTTCACACAGGCTTTGGCCCTAATTGCTGTCAATCAAATGTAGTGAAGAGGAAGTAGGGGGTGGGGCTAAGTCTCGCTGTGTGTGTGTCTATGGAGCTCGACTCCATAGACACATAGGTAGGGAGTGTGCACGCAGTGTGTCTCCTTTATAGCAAGCAGCGTGCTATGGGAGACACACAAAGAAGAGGATCAGCTGATATCGCCGGCGGGAACCCGAGAAGAGGATTGGGGCCGGTCTGTGCATAACCACTGCTCAGAGCAGTTACGTATAACATGTTTGTTGTTTTTAATTTAAAAAAAAAAAAAAATTGCAGATTTTAGTAACACTTGAACCTTTTAATATTTTTTGAACTTGTGTTAAAACTAATTTTTCCTCTTGCTTTAGGGAGCTCTGTGTGAGCTCCAGTAAGCCCTTTTGGAATGTACAGAGGGAGACTGACTTCAGCTCCCTGCTGCATTGGGGTGGGGTCTATGATGAACCCCAGTTCTGCTGTTGTGACTCTGCCTTTTCCCTCTGCTGTGCCATTCACAAAGTACAGCTTCAACGTAATCCACTGCACTTTCCTTTGTGAATACATCTGCTGTATATTCCAGCAGCACTAAGTGGAGCTTACTGAGAGTTTATAAAGTAAAAAAACAAAAGTGAGTTACAAAGTATTAATAATGTACCTGGATTTGGGATTTAAGATGCAAGGTCTCTTTTTGAAAGTTTAATCACTTGCTTTGCTGTTGGTGTCACTGACAAGCATGTGTATGGGGCATCTTGTCAGTAGCAGCTCTTTTATATATTTGTTCTGGAAGGTAGGGGAGGGGGGTTCCCTTTTACAGGAAAGAGAAGTTTTTGTTTTTTTAATTTTGGTAATTGAGATGGCATACATTAAAACTATTGATAAATACCAATGTTTTCAGCCATAGTTCAATTCTGTTTCTCCCATGTAATAAGACATTAAAGCTTCAGGAAACTCTACCTTTAATGTAGATCTGTTTGTTAGCCTGACTCTTCAATGTAAGAATGTGTTTTCCTGCAGGCTGTCTTTCTGTGATTTGGCTGGATCTGAGCGATGCAAAGATCAGAGAAGTGGGGATCGGCTGAAGGAGGCCACAAATATCAATACATCTCTTCATACTTTGGGCCGCTGCATCAGTGCCCTGAGACAAAATCAACAAAACAAGTAAGTGGCTTTTATACAAGGTATGAACACTGAGTGTTTCTGCAGTTTTGCTGTTTAGCCAGTAGAAGTTAATTTTACTATCTTAGTCATCTCTAACAAAGTTGTTCTTATCTAAGGCAGCGACAGAATATGGTTCCGTTCAGGGACAGTAAGTTGACTCGGGTCTTCCAAGCCTACTTTACTGGCCGAGGAAAGTCGTGTATGATTGTGAACATCAATCAGTGTGCTTCCACCTATGATGAGACACTACATGCTATGAAATTCTCAGCAATTGCTAGCCAGGTATTAGGGTGTTCTGGGTGTGTTGCCAGTTTTCCTCTTTTGGCCAATTGTTCTAAAAATATATATATATTTTTTTTTTTCCTTAGCTGGTCCAAGCACCTCCTGTAAAAACGAACCTGCCCACTATTCAGTCTCTTATCAAAGAGAGCAGTATTTTAGCCAATCGCAGCTACACAGATGATGAAGATGCTGCAGAGGCTTCTGATGAAGAAAGTGATACTGAAACTGATATCACAATGTTTAATAAAGAGGTTTGTTACAGACAGGCTTTTCTTTAAAGCAGCTGATTAAAAAAAAAAAAAATGCTTACATGCGCGCTGATTCTGTCTGTTAGGAGCTGCTGCAAGTAATTGAGAACGTGAAACAGCTTGTAATTAAAGAACGTCAGGAAAAACTGTCCATGGAAATGACGATTAGGAAGGAAGTCTGTAATGAGATGATGGAAATGATGCAGCAACAGAAATCTCAATTCAGGTAACGCTATTTATTGATTCAACCCTTGACTTGTGTTGTACAAAAACTATGCTAAGTTGCTGTTTTATCTGAAGTGAGTCCATGGAAGATGAACGGGAGCTGTTGGAAGAGATGTATGAGGGAAGGCTAGAGAACCTAAAGGAGTCACTCACACACTATTACAAACGAGAACTGCAGGTAAATTCACGATACATTTTATTTTAATTTTTTTTTTTTTAAATGCCTTTTATTGCAACGTTTGGTTGCTTTAATGTGCTTGGTTTACAGGATCTTTGGATCATCAGACCATAATATTGCATACTTGGTTTTTCTTGCATTATGTCTTGGGATCTTTGCACATTATACTATAATGTTATGCTTCTTTTAAGTACTTGGGTTAGCATATGTTCTCTCTAGAAATACCATTACATTACCAAGAAGTTCAAAGAAACCACTCCCTGCGCTCTACCCTATATCCCATTTTGGCTCATGAGAAGGTGTTGGAGCTCTGACTAGTAGATGCTCAGTCATCCAAAATCGTCAGCACTCGACAGGATATTAAAGATATGATGCATCAATAAAAGTTTCATATCTTTAAAATCTTGTTGGGCAAACTATTTTGGATAATGGATAAGAAGTTTTCTGTAAGATGCTCAACTGCTCAGAAGATTCCATCCTATTTTGGGGTGTACAACCAATGCCAGTCTTTACAGTACAGTAGAGGCAATTTTAATCCAGTTGGCAAACCATCAAAAAGGCATTAGTTTTAATTTAAAAAGATCACATTTTAAAGTGTTACTAAACCCATAACTGTAAAGTCAGTCTGTATATGCAGTAAAGCATGCTTGTTATACTCACTGTGGAACCTAAGGGGTAATCCTCCACATTGTGTAATAAAGACTGTATGATCCTGACTTCTCTGATACTCCCCTTCTTCCAGCGTCCCCCTCTTATCTCCTGATAAGACATATTGTGTGGAGTCACTCTGCACATGCTCTGTTTGGTGTGTATTGCTAGAGGTTTTTTTTTTTTTCCCCCCTTGGGAAAGTGCATGTGATCAGCCTAGGCCCAATCAGCACTGTCCAGACTGAGGTAAGGGGTTCTCCATCCTCCTAGAGCAAAATGAAAACTCCTACAAGCTTTAACCAGTGTTCGACCAGACACACTGATAGAAGTAACAAGACTGCTATATACTGCTGATGAGAAAGTAGTATTTAGCAGTTTATATTTACTAAAGCAATTGCATTTCCGTGTACTATGGGAGACCAGATATAGTGAATGCAGGGTCCTGGGTTTAGTAACACTTTTAACTTCAAATATTATATACATATGAAATGGTTAGAATTCACACATTTTGTCTTGCAATCTAGGAACGAGATGAGCAAATTGAGGAGCTCCAAGTTGCTCTGGAGGAAGCGAACGATGTTTCTGCATTAAACACTACAAATGCCAGAAAGGACTGTGTTCCTCTGCGCAGATCCAAGCGGCTGGCGACATCTGAAATGCCTGAAATAAATAAACTTAAATTGGAAATTGCAGATCTGAATGCAATCCTGAAGTCTAGAATGAAGGTGAGCACTTGTTCTTAGCCGTGATAATCACAAGTGGGATTTATAGTATCAGTTGATTCTAAGTAAACTTTTTTGCATCCACTTATTATTCTGCCTATTGGGAACAACTTTACCTAGAATTGTTCTGCCTTTGTGAAAAAATAGAATGCATTGTAATATATTAGATATTATATTCTTTTGTGTTTTTTAATATATTAGAAGTTTTATCATAAATTGTTGTAACCTAGAAATTGAAAGACTTAAGATGACACGTGAGCCTCCTTCATCTGCAAGTACATTTACTGCCGATGTAGATCGGAAGATTCAAGAAGGGCAAAAGGTAAAGCCAAAATTTTCTTACTTTTTTTTTTTTTTTTTTTTTTTTTTTTTTTTTTTTTTTTTTTTTTTTAATGATGCGTATGCTGTAGGGTGTGTGGGTTTATTTTAATATATATCTTAGAATGATCCAGTTGTTTGAAGACTCAGACTACCATTACTTATTACTTTTAGTTGCAAAAGGTTTTATCTATTTTGTAATGGAATAGATCATAATGTGATTGTGACTTGTTATGCCCTGTATTTTCACATTTATGCAGTCAGTCATTGTAAAGTAAGTGAGTTTTTCTTAATTTTATGACACGGGACACTTCATAATCATGACTGCTTGGGTTAAGATACCACCTTTTAAAGTTGATGGATACTGGCCAAAAAAAACTAAACCCTCCCAGCTCAGCTAAACATCATTTTTTAACTAGTGCCCTTAGGTGCAACATATTTTTCTGAAGAGCTTTCTTCTGGGTCTTTAGTCTCATGCTTTGGGCTTCTCCTTGACACTCTTGATGGGATTAGGCCAAGAAGGAATCTACCCAGAACCCATGTACAAGTGCAGGGATGGCCTGTAATGCGTTTGTATCCTGGAGATCCTGCTAGAAGCAATCTCCAGGGTTCCAGGTGACCTTGCTGGCTGGATATTCTACAGGTCCAGGGCAGTGATTCACTAGAGAAAAGGTCAAGTCCCTGAAGGCACTGCAGGGAGCACCTACCATGAGTGAATGGGTCTTTTGGCCCTGTGGCTTGTACTGATGGGTACCTCTGTGCTAGTGGAGCAGGTGACACCATCTCCCTCTTGTGTCCCAATGCGTATTGGCTGCTACACTTTAATTCTTCGAGTGCTACACTGCAGTCATGTTGTGTAAAGTGATCTGGCACTACGGGTGATATTTTCATCGTGTGTCTTCACCTTTTAACTGGTCTTCTACACACAACAGCACATGTGTTGCAGGCCCCTGCAGCTCAAAACAGGCAGAGATTCAGAAAATTTTCACTAACATCTGCACAGGCCACAAGTATTGGACACTTCATAACATGGGGAAACTGCCAAGAAGGTGTTCCAGCTTGTGCCTACACTCCTCTCAACTGGGTGGCCATTCCCACTGTGGCGTAACTAGTACACAAATCCTCAGTAAGCTCTTGCCTCCCACAGGCAGAGAGGTGGAGGAAGGATTTAGGGTGAGCTCCCAAACTCCTCAAATCAGGTATTGAGGAGTCCCCCTGCAATGGCTCCTTCGAAGGGTCAGATTACATCTGAATATCTATCCTTATCTGGGATCTCCACTGTTACAAGAGAAAATCCTTTGTTTCAGTCCTGGTTTGCTTGATCACCTCTCTGGATTCTCACTGGCTTGGGGTGCAAGCATGGTTGCTCTCCTTCCCTTTTGCAGGCAGGTGAGACATTGAAGGAACATCCTCAAGAACAGTAGGAATCCTTTGTTGATAAATCCTTAGAGGAATATCAGGGTTCCAGGGCTCACTCAGACATAGTAGAGGTGTGGACCCTTTCTTGAAGTACATCACAGGACCCAGTGATCCCTTCCTTTTTTGTCTGTTCCTCATTGCATGCTGTAAAAAGCTTAGCCAAGCTGGGGGAGGTTATGCCTAGTGGGGATTCCTTCCTTTTTTGGCCAGTGTCCGTTCAACTGAAAGTGGTTACATAAGTAATCATGATTAACAATTCCTCTGTGTCCTGTGATGTAAATGTACTCCAATAAAATATTACAGGTAAACTAAAAGTCCTATTCTGTTGCACCAAGTTGATTTAAATTTTTCCTGAAAAATTTGGATTCTTTTTAACACACAGAGGGAAATTTACTAAAACTGGAGCACTGAAATCTGGTACAGCTGTGCATGGTAGCCAATCAGCTTCTAACTTCAGCTTGTTCAATTAAGCTTTGGCAATAAAACCCAGAAGCTGATTGGTTACTATGCAGAGTTGCATCACATTTTGTACACTCCAATTTTAGTTAATAGATAGATAGATTATATATATATATATAGATATAGATTGATATATATATATATATATATTATAAACACTCCTGACTCTGAACTATGTAACTAAGGGCACCTTCACATTATGGGGTTGACTTGCTAAAACTGGAGAGTGCAAAATCTGGTGCAGCTCTGGATAGAAACCAGTCGGCTTCCATTCTTTTTGTTTAATTGAACAAGCTGAAGTCAGAAGCTGGCTACCATGTGCAGCCGCACCAGATTTTGCACTCTCCAGTTTTTAATAATTTAATCCCATAGTACAATTAACAGTATGTTAGCACTATAAATATACTGTAACATTCAGATAGCCACATTGTGCAAAGTGAATCCAGATGCTGACATCTAGACAAAGCTGAAGTATTGGCTTTGGAAGGAATGATCCTTTTAAATGGAAAAAGGAAACATATGTTTAAATACCATTGCATGTGGCCTTTGTATCCTATATTGGCTTTGCAAAAGTTCCACACAGTTGCATGTAAGCTAGTACAATTGTGCAGAAAATACATTGCATGGTCCTTTTATTTAGCAGTGTTGTGCTGACTGCAGAGAAGACAGTTGGCAGATGGTCAGTGTGAAATTGTCTTTTTTTTTTTTTTTTTTTTTCTATGCTGTAAATTTTCCTTTTATTTGCTCTTCCAGCAATATTTTCTGGGCTCTCGCAACACGTGCACAGATTTTCAGCACACAAGAGCTCTTTGGGTAACCATCTTATCTCTTTTCACACTTTCATCACCAGAAGGTTCTGGGGAGCAGCTGTGATCCCATTGCTTTGCAGTCCTTTATCTGTCCTTGCTTTCCTTGCTTTAAATTGGTGGTGTTTGCAGGGCCCCTTGTCTTCTGAGTGATGATGAGACAGAATAAGATCTATATTATAGATATATGCAAATAGATGCGAATCCTAACTTGCATTTTCAAAAATATTGCTTTTAAATTTTGTTGGTTTACTCAAACCTAAAAGTGTCACTGGGCCTAATTTATTAAAAAAAAAAAAAAAAATGGAGAAAAGACTCTGTATTGGTAACTGCTAATCAGTCTCCCTTTTTCTAATGCAGATTATACTATGAAAATCAGCTAGTTGCTATGGATAACACATTTTTAATAAATCCTGCCCATTGACCTCTACTTTAGAATACAGGGGACTCTGACTAATGATAAGTCAACATGAAACATTGTGACAGCTTTTTCTCTGGACTGCATGCTCCCCAGAATTTCATTTAGCAACCCTGCTTTTTCACAGACACCTGCTTGTTTCCTTGATTCTTCAATAGTGGCTAAGAATCTTTAGGGTAGATCTGAGGGTGGTGGTTTTTAGCAGGTATTTAGAGTGATCCTTAAACCATAATTATTTTTTCCTTTTTAGAATGTCAGATTATTACGCACAGAGATACAAAGATTTGGAGAATCTCTGCAACAGATGGATAGGGCATGCTGCCACACTACTGGTGCAGAAAAACTAAGACAAGCTCTGGGAACATGCGATGATATCTTGTGTAAACAGGTTGGTTCCTTCTTTTCACTGCCTGTTCATTTTTATCTCTACCACATTCACAATTTAACATTGCTTTTGAGTCTAAGGCCTTGTAGTGCGGGAAGAAGCCTGTATTAATCCATCTTGCTCATTTATGCAGTATTTGTATGGTAACCGCCACCCCCGTCCCCTTAACACATGAGATGGCACCACATGGTGCTGAACTAGCTTCTGATATAGTGCACAGACCAAAGAGAGTACCATCACGTCTCATGTCTTTGTGGTCAGAATGAATCTCAGTTGTACTTGGTCATTCATGTCATGTGACATATTGCTACCTGTATACACATACGGCTTTTTTTCCACAATCAACCACATGTTGGTGATGGCTTTTCCCAGTTTTCAGAATGACTCAAGGAAGTTACTGTGTAGGAGAGCTCTTTTCCTTTAGATGAAGGACTGATAATTCCAAAATTCACAATCTCGGCGAACGGTTTCTTCTTTCTTTCATTTGCTGGTCAGCTTGGCTGTCTGCCTAAGTGACGTTATCAAATATTTTTCCCCATCTTAGGAGAAGACTCTAGCAGAACTACAAAACAACATGGCCCTGGTAAAGATGGATCTTCGAAAAAAGACAGCTTGCATTGCAGAGCAGTACCACACTGTACAACGATTACAAGGGACACCTTCTGGCTTCAGACGCATGTGTAATAATGAAAATATGCAGCCTAATCCGCCCCCTGAGAAAAGGCCTTTCCTGCGCAACCTCCTGGCCAGGACTCCTGGACAGAAAGCTCTTATGGAAAACAGCCCTTACAGCCGTGTCCTGAGAGCACGCCGTTCCCCTGTACTAAAGACTGTTGCATTTGGTACCAAATATTGACTATTAGCTGCTTCACGATGACTTGACTCACACGGTGCCTATCATTATTTAGTCTATATATTCTTTATACTTCATATCTTACCAAAGGACTGATATGTAAATAGTGTCCTTTTCTTGTTTTAAAAGGAGTTTCATGGGCAGTGACACTGTTAAAAAAAAAAAAAAAAAAAAAAAAAAAAAATGCTGATAACCTGCAAGGCTGATGAAAAAGAATGTTTAGTTGTTTTTATAGATCTACAAGTTTGTGTTGGTTTTTTTTTTTTTTTTGTTTTTTTGTTTGTTTTTTTTTTTTATTTTGAAGCGGTTTTGACTTTTCACACATGTGCAATATTCATCATGTATGTTACCTGTTAGTAATAAACCACTTTGTACAGCTGCTCAGTTTATATGGTCTACAGCTGCTTCTTTATACTTAATTTGCACAGATTGAATCTTGTAAATATTGTCTGTTATAGTAATGTCTAGTGGTGCACTGAAATGAAAATTCTGGTATAGAAACAAAAAATTTAGGATGCACTTGGCTGAAAACCAAAATGGACCTTTTTTAATTAAAAATTTTTTTTTTTTTCCTCTTAATCTAATGTGGTGTTTTTTGCATTGAAGTCACTATGGAGGGCATTTTTGCATTGCAAGCTAAGGGACGCAGCATACCATTATCATCACCCATTTTCAGCTGATAATTTTCGGCGGCTGATATATTGGTGCATCCCTCATAATGTCACATAAAGGTTAAATGTAAAATGTCAGAATGTGGCAAACTACAACTTTTAAAACAAAAATGTCTATGGCCTCATTCACATGGGCATTACCCATGCGAAGGGCATTCTTTACCTGCAAAGGATACACAGGTGACCTGGGACGGTGTTCCAATCTGTACATCAAACTCACATAGCTGTACACTCTAAGAAGCGCTTATGGATCAGCTGAGCCATCTGCCCATCATTGATTTCAACAGCCTGTGTGGGGCTGCGCGTAACACCTGGGCATCCTGTGGGGTTAAGAATACCCTTTGCATGGGTGTACAGATTGATGCACCTGTGTAAATGAGTCCTAAACATCCTTATTGTTTAAATAGACCACCCATTGCATCAAAGGACCAAAGTAGAGGGACAGGATCAAGTTAAAGTTGAATTCCAGGTATAGATATTTTTGCATATTTTCATTGGTCCATCTTGGAGCCTTGAACCAATGTATGTACAGTGAAGGAAATAAGTATTTGATCCCCTGCGGATTTTTAATGTTTGCCCACTCTCAAAGACATCAGTCTAAAAATCAAATGGTAGGTGTATTGTAACACAGAGACAACAAAAAAATTCAAAAGAAATGCACGTCTAACAAATGATGCACTTATTTGCATGTTCATGAGGGAAATAAGCATTTTATCCCCTATCATTCAGCAGGATTTCTGGCTACCAGGTGTCTTTCATACAGGTAACAAGCTGAGATTAGCAGCACTCCCTTTAAGAGACTGCTTCTAATCTTTTTGTTACCTGTATAAAAGACACCTGTCCAGGAGCAATCAAACAATCAGATTCCAAACTCTCCACATGGCAAAAGACCAAAGCTGTCTAAGGATGTCAGGAACAAGATTGTAGACCTACACAAGGCTGGACTGGGCTACCAAACTATCTCCAAGCAGCTTGGTGAGAAGGTGACAACAGTTGGTGCAATCATTCACAAATGGAAGAAACACAAAAACAACTGTCAATCTCCCTAGGTCTAGTGCACCATGCAAGATCTCGCCTCGTGGAGTGTCAATGATCATGAGAACAGTGAGGAATCATTCCAGAACTACACATGAGGATCTTGTCAATGATCTCCAGGCAGCTGGGACCACAGTCACCAAGAAAACAATTGGTAACACACTACGCCGACAAGGAATGAAATCCTGCAGTGCCCACAAGGTCCCTCTGCTCAAGAAAGCACATGTCCAGGCCCGTGTGAAGTTTGCCACTGAACATCTGAATGATGCAGAGCAGGACTGGTTGAAAGTGTTGTGGTCAGATGAGACCAAAATGGAGCTCTTTGGCATCAACTCAACTCGCTGTGTTTGGAGGAGGAGGAATGCTGCCTATGACCCCAAGAACACCATCCCAACTGTCAAACGTGGTGGAAATATTCTGCTTTGGGGGTGTTTTTCTGCTAAGGGGACCGGACAACTGCACCGCATCAAATGACGATGGACGGGGCAATGTACCGTCAAATCTTGGGTGAGAACCTTCTTCCCTCAGCCAGGGCATTGAAAATGATTCGTGGATGGATGTTCCAGCATGACAGTGACCCAAAACACACGGCCCAGGCAACAAAGGAGTGGCTCAAGAAGAAGCACATTAAGGTCTTGGAGTGGCCTAGCCAGTCTCCAGACCTTAATCCGATTGAAAATCTGCGGAGGGAGCTGAAAGTTCGAGTTGCCAAACGTCAGCACCAAACCTTAATGACTTGAAGAGGATCTGCCACGAGGCGTGGGCCAAAATCCCTCCTGAGATGTGTGCAAACCTGGTGGCCAACTACAGGAAACGTCTGACCTCTGATTGCCAACAAGGGATTTGCCACCAAGTACAAAGTCCTGTTTTGTGAAGGGGATCAAATACTTATTTCCCTCGTGAACATGCAAATCAGTGCATAATTTGTTAAAGTGCATTTCTTTTGAATTTTTTGTTGCTATTCTGTATGTGTTACACTACACCTACCATTGGATTTTTAAACTGATCATTTCTTTGTGAGCGGGCAAACATTCAAAAAATAAGCATGGGATCAAATACTTATTTCCTTCACTGTATACATATTCTGTAATAAAAAGGGGGGAAAAACTGGTGGGGCTTTTTGGTAGAAGAAAATGGCATTCTTCTGCCAAAAAAAAAAAAAAAAAAAAAAACTTTTTTCACCCTAGTGATTTTTATTTTTCTTCTAGTTGTACAGGACACGGTCTCCTTTTTAACCATTTTTTTTTTCTCTTGAATGATATTCCACCAAGATGACTCTTCAATCAAAATCCCAACTGCACCAAAGCCACGGTGGCTTTCATGCAGCTTCGGATCAGGAAGTTGGGGGAGGGGGGGGGGGACTGGCCCTGTAATGTTGCTTCCATGCACTAGTTCCTGAATGTCTGTCTGTGAAGGATCCAGTGCATGGAAGCAACTGGAAGTGTAATGTGCGGACTTTATCAGCAGGGTGCTTTACTGGTTTCCCTGCATCGGAGTCCTGGCCTGAAGAACGGGTACGCCCACCTTTGAGGGTGAAGCCAAGATGGACCCAAACCCCTGTCCCTGCCTACTAGTTTTACTGTTGTAAATAAATTGTGGAAGCCCTTTAAAATATTCAGCCAGGGTGTACCTTTATTCTTTAGATCCTCTTTGGGGTGTGTGTGAGTGTTGCCAATCACACTTGTGGTGGTTGTGGCAGGGAACTGAGAGTGCTGAGTTAATTTTGAATTTGGTGGCAACTGTAATCACTAGCATGCCTGTTGTGGTGCTACTGCCCCTGTGCCAATCCTCTCCATGGAGTGGTGCTTCACTGGAGGGGGTTACTGCAGCATCAGGCCCTGCATCTTCTTTTTGTGTGAGGGACTATGGACCAGCAACATCTGGCTCTCGTCTGCAGAAATTATGTAATTTTTTTATTACCACACTACCTGGGTTACCTTTGGCCAACAGGTTCTTGGCACTGAGGCATTTCTGTTTTTTTTTCCTCCACTGCTGTGGGAAGCACATGAATACCCCTCTGGGGGTGATATTTATGAGCATGGCAGGTCTTAAGCACAGGGCTGATGTCCTCTGTGTCATTTGGTGGTTATCGGCAGTACTTTCCCCATGCTGTGATCTCATGAGGAAGTGCTGCTGCTGATAACCAGCAACTGTATTTACATTGTGATCTGCTGTATCATTGGACACAGTTGATCGTGTGGTAAAAGACCGCTGTGATTGGCCTTTTACCTCATCATGTGATCAGCTGTGTCTGTAGGACACAGCGATCACAGAGCTCTGCTTGTGTGTGGGATTGCGCGTTCTGGGAGGACGTCCTATGATGCCCTCCCAGAATTGGACAACCACGCTGTAGCCGTCATTTGGCTATAGCGCGGTTGACAAGTGGTTAAATTACCCTAACCAGCCAAGCAGGGCTGAAACAACTAACCAACATAATTGATAATAAAAATAGTTAACAATTTTCATCGATTTAGATGGTCAGTTGATTACTTTGCCTGCATAGAGAATGTAGTGTTTGTTTTCATATTGGTGTACACAGTACAGTACGTATACAGCTCGGTTCTTCATCCATACATGTCAGTAAGTGCCTGAGAACTTGTGAATGTGCGAGGAGCAGTCCCCTGAAGATTAACCACTTCCAGACCGGACACTTTTACCCCCTTCCTGTCCAGGGCAATTTTCAGCTTTCAGCTCTATCACACTTTGACAATTGTGTGGTCATGTAACACTGTACCCAAATTAATTTGTTACCATTTTTTTGAGACAGATAAAGCTTTATTTTGGTGGTATTTATTCACCGCTGGGATTTTTATTTTTTTTGCTATGTAAATGAAAATGTCCCAAAATTTTGAAAAAAAGTGTTTTTTTTAATAAAATTTTGCAAATAAATAATACTTCATCATAAATCTTGGCCAAAATTTATTCCGTTATCTTTTTAGTTAAAAAAATCCAAATTAGTTTATAACCAAAAAGTATAATTTTTAAACATTTTTTTTTTTATTTTTATTTTATTTTTTTTATTTTTTTTTACATACTGTCACCCTA